AATTATCAATGGTTTTAAAAAAAATCATTTAAATAGTAAAATAGTAAAAACGAGCATATTCAAATAAATATACTTTTTTATTTGAAAGATTATTATTATTATTATTTCAGCAGGGACACTTTGGTCTGTAATGAGATGTTTTTAATGTTTTGAAAGATAATTACAAAAAAAGCTAAAAAGGAAAATATTGAAAAAAATAAGACATTGAGCAGCACAACTGTTTTAAACATTAGTTATGTTTCCATTCACCTATTTTTATGTGCATTTTGGATATGTGTAATATAAAAAATAAAAAATGAAATCACCAAGATGCACATACATTTTGAAAATGTGCATAAAAATGTATGCAAATAACTGAATAGCATTAACTTTTTATTTAATAAGAAAAAAATTACATAAACTGCAATGGAAACACTTTTACAGAACAAATTCCATTATGCGTATTAAAAAAAGTCATGTGATTTTTGTTATAAGAGATCATGTGGTGATAAAAATGTGTGTGAATAGACAAACCAGCAGGCTGAGCACACTGTAAAACATCTGAAATGTTGTATTGGTTGTTCTAAAATGCCTTAACTGTTTCAGTATTCGTGTTATTATATTGTTAATGACCTCCAGAATCAAGAGCGTCTTTGCTTTGCATGTCACGCCTTCAAATGCCACCACCCGTTGATTGCATTTCGGCATTCTTTTCCGAGACAAAAGCAATTTATTTAACAACAAAATGATTAACGCAGCTTTTCCTATCGCAGCAAATTCCGTCTTTACTTTTGATATTTGTCAAGAGTTAATCAGGAAGTGACGATTCTGTTGTCTTTGACTCGTTGGATGGAAATGCGGCTTTATTCGCATGTCTTTTATGAGATATTCCAGTTTTGCGCAGTAAATTTGCATCTTAGGATGCAAACATGCCTAATGACAATAGTATAAAATGTTTCTTGAGCATCAGATCAGAATATAAGAAATATTTCTGAAAATTCAGATTAAAGATTACATTTAAATTGAATTTTTTTTTCACATTATTGCTGTAAAATGTCATTCAAAAGCTTTAAAAAAAAAGGTCTTGCTTATGAAAGCTATTCTCTAAAATATAATATTCATTACAGTACCAACATATGCATCGTTATATTAAAATCCTCCTTCATTAATCTCAATAGATTGGAAAAACACATGAAAGAAGTAGAAGTGCTGTATGAGGAAATAACACCGTGACTCGCCATGTACTGTACTAAGTGCTGTTTATAGAGATGATTATCTGAGCATAAATGTGTTTTATTGCTGTCATCCATTTATTTATATCTGTTTTATTGCCGTCAGGTTCTCTGAGTGAGGAAGCACCGCCGCCTCCTCGTGGTATGGCAATGGGTCACTTGGCGTCCCGCTCCTCCAACCCCATGTCAATGGCTCGTTCATTGCCTGTGTCAGTTCCGGTGTGGGGCTACAGGAACAATCATGCCCCTCAGGGAGACTCGCACAGTGGAGAACGGGTTAGTTACATGTCCTTTCCATCCATTCTTGGAATATATTTAGATGTATATTAGATTCCAACCAAATTTACCCAAAAGGCAAATGTCTGGATGTCTATTAGATGTCTTTTAGAGGTCTCATAGTTTTTTTGTCTGATAGTCATGTCTAAGTGTCTTATTTAATACCTTTTGTTGATTTCAGGTGGGCTGTGCAGACTTGGACCACATAGCTGCGAGTATGAAAGCCTTACTGGTCCCAGGAGCCACCGATGGGACGGAGATGTTCGGAGCACTGCCTCGGCCTCGTCTAAACACGGGCGACTTCTCTCTCAAACACTGAGAGGGTGATTGTGTGCATATGTATGAATGACAGACTGAGCGTGCATGAGAATGACAGGTGAGCTCGCTTGTGTGCGTGAAAGAAGAGAGTTGACCAGAACCGGAGAGTTTCAAAGAATGTTTTTTAGCAAAGACGTTGCCAAAATCTGAAGCTTCTCCTGCATATCATTAATAGTATTTCTATGGCGTTTCAAGTGGCTAAACCTTTTACCAAACCTTCACATCTGCAGCAGCAGGAGGAGGAAGAGGAGTAGAGGTTTGATCAGCATGTCTTAATCGGGACAATTTCTTCTGGTTGTGGCAGACCTTAGTTACGTAGTGCATTTCACTGAGAAACACTAACAAACATCATTTCATTACTAATCATACGCAGTAACTGATAGATTTACTGAAGGTAATTGAGCTGATATACACCACATCCGTCATCAGAGAAGCGTTTTCCGTTAACAGACACTACATGTACTTGTATGTATAGACTGCTGAGTTCAGATGTGGATTCAGTAGTTTTTACTGTGAATGCTTACAAATGATGTCACTCTTTGGCTGCGTGAAATATCGTTCATTTCAGAAAGAGTTTCAAAGAATTTCTACAATAAGCAGGACAATAAGCTTTTAAAACACCAATGTTATAAATTATTCACCTGCAAATTACATTTTTCTGCATTCTTAGTGATTTAATGTGCTGATAACGGATATAAATGCCGACGTGCGAATTGTTGATTAGTTCGATGACTTCTCTGAAAAAGTTTTCGCTAGATTGAAGGATATGTCAGGTTTGAGGGTTTTCAACACTACAGATGTCAACCAGCTATGTGTTTATCTTAATTATTTCACGACTGTTCGATGTTGAAGTAAATGCGTTTTGAATAAACATGTTGTTTGTTGTTGAATTCTGCTCCTCGTCTTTCTTGACTTTAGTCTGGAGTTTTTGTTTTGGATATTTCCATTAAATGTTGCCTATGCTGTTGTTGTCTATTGGAAGGAATGAGTCAGTAGAGCCACCATTTTAGTACAGGGAAGCGCTCCCTTGAAATGAATGTGAGCCCAAGTTGCAATGGAGGACTGGCCATCCGGAGCCAGAGATATATAGACGTATATCTATGATCTGAAGTTTTCCCGGTGGTTACTATTACTATAAATTATAATTTTACATCATTTTTCAAGTGCGTCCCTGCGTCTCAGTGTGCATATTCACCATTCTGATGTACATGGTATATAACATTTGTAATATTCAATTAATTAAGATGGAGATTAAGGCGCAGGCACCCTTATAAGTTACTTCAAAAACTAGCCATTAACGTTACTTAGCTGACAATAATATAAGTTTGAATACATTGTTTGCTTATTTATTAAAAAAAACTAGCATAAGCCTAGTATTTGGTGTGAGTTGGTACTACTTTGCCTTATGATCAGTGCAGTAAGTGACTGTATTACCATCAATAATGCTACTTGTTAAGCACAAAAGTTTGTAACATACAAAAATGTAAAAAATGAAATCTTACCTATGAATTGTGATGCCTTTATGCTTTCTTTGTTTGCTCATTACTACACCCATACATAACACAAAAGTCTAGTCTTGACTAGTTCGGTTGAATGACTTTTGTTCTGGGAGCACTGTACAAATGTGGCGTCGGTATTGACGCATTCTCAGGGTCTGTTTGCGATATCTAGTAAATATGTCTATGGCGCGAGTAGGCTAAACAAAACAACTCTGAGGAAAGTGCACACTGTGACCAGCAGAGAGCGCTGTTGAACTTTTATGTATTTTTGGCGTGTAGCGTGAGTTCATACTATCCCTAATATTTTATTTAGTTGACACTATCCAAAGAGACATATAAACCAGGGACAAAGTGATTGATTTGAATTTATTCTTTTTCTCTTTAGGCTGATGAGACCACACGAAGGGATTCAGTCAAACCCTTCACTGCTTGTTAAAAAAGCAACAACACTTATATTTTTCAAATAGTAGGCCTATTTGATAAATGAATAGTTATATAAACTTTAGCAGATTTGTTTGTAGAAAAATACAATTTGTGTACTTTGTTCTAATAATAATTATTCAATAATTTGAACAACAATAATATTTCCTTACATTTATACAGTGCTTTTCTAGACACTCAAGGCGCTTTACACATTTGGGGGAATCTCCTCATCCACCATAATATAATTAAAATAAATGTTCTAATAAAATAAATAAAAATAACTTTTAAACCATTTTTATATACTGTATACACTTATTTTGATTTTATAAAAAAAGAAAATGTCAAAATTATGACTTAAAATATTATCAGTGAAATAAAAAAAAAAATAGTAAAAAAAGTTGATAAATAAAATATTTAAAATATTTTATGTCAAGTCGTCGCCTTCATTTCTAGTACACTTTTTACAATGACCCTGAATCATGACTTGGTATCATGATTTCAGCATTTTATAATTATGATGACTATATAACTATGACCAGAGGTCACTGATTTGAGTGCCGGCTGTGTCAGTTGGCATTTCTGCATGGAGTTTGCATGTTCTCCCTGTGTTGGCGTGGGTTTCCTTCACAGTCTAAAGACATGTGGGATAGGTGAATTGAATAAACTAAATTGGCCATAGTGTATGAGTGTGAATGTGTACGGGTGTTTCTCAGTACTGGGTTGCAGCTGAAAGGGCATCTGTTGTGTAAAACATATGCTGAATAGGTTGGCGATTCATTCCACAGTTGCGAACACTGATGAATAAGGGGGCAAAGCCAAAGGAAAATTAATAAATGAATTCAAGTGTGACATAACAGAATTACTGGCATCTGAGAATTGTTTAGTGTGTTTGTAGCTTTAAAAGCTTTTAAAAATTGATGTTTTAAAAAAAACACCACTCATATGTGACACAAATGAGTCTTATTTTAAACTTTTAGTTTATTAAAGCACAAAGATAAATATTCACTTGAGTAACTGCATTTGTCATCACATGGAATATAAAACGAATACACTTACTATTCAAAATCTTTAGTATAAAGGTTAATGCTATACCACATAAATTACTGGTTAAATTAATGAAATTATATATTTTGGGTCTGCACATATTTGAATCAACTTTAGAGATTTGTAATAAAGGCAGAAGGTTTAGAATGAGTCTTAATTTATCGTTTCAATACTGATATTTTGTTGTTAGTTTTTGCTTTCCACTTACTACCAAAAACTGTTCCTTAAAGTTGCATAGCCGTCCTTCCCTTACCCTGTTTCATTCCAAGACCTTTTATCTTCATATATTCACTAGGGATGGGCGATGTGGACTTAGATTACGATATTTTGTGGTATTTACTGAGAAAACTGTCGATGACGATAATTTGCATTTATTAACTGTGAGACAAAAAAGTCCTGAATCGAAAGAGAGCACTGTTTTGTGTTCATTTTTATTTATTTTTTTGTTGTAAGCACAAGTATATTTATAATGTAAGGCTGATACACGTAACTTCATCACTCTAAAAAATAAAATAATGTTGATGATGCTTTGAAGTGGTAAAGGTATGTCATTAAATCTTTTTGCTTGTAAAAAGACAAAACTGTATTTTAAATGTGCTAACAATTGCATTTTTAATACGTTTTTTCTTTGTAGGCTGTTTTATTTATGTTTTGTCACATTGTACACCCTTGACCAAACCAGTTTCAGAGTGTAGAGGCAGATTGTACCCTAAAATTATTTGTAAATTAACAGTAGTGCCAATATTTTGTGATATGTTTCATTTATTTATACTGTTGAATTGCATTATGGGAGCTTAATCTTAAGTATAACAACTTTTGATGTTGAAAAGTTTGAAAAAGTGACTTTTAATGGCATTTTAATTGTTTTAAGTGATATATTGTCTGGGTTGATGTTGGAACTTACAGTGCAAAAACCTGGTAACAAACTCACAGGGCTTATTTCAATGAAGGTTATTTTTTATACAATATCTTGTTTCAAACTAGTAAAATATCAATAAATCCACTTTGTTAAACTGCAGTGTTAAATAATAAAAGTCAACAGAGCAAGGTCCTGTAATGTTATTTATAATTATAAATAAACAGAAAACACCTGTGAATCACAAAATATGGAAATGGTTAATTAACAGATATTTTAAAAATGTTGTGTTATGTTGCAGGTTTTATCATTACTCTCGCGGGAAGAATTTTATATTGATAAATCGCAAACGTTAAGATACCGCCCATCCCTAATATTCACCCTCTACTGATCTTTCTTTCGGATCTGGCAGTAGGAGTTTCTGCCCACCCAGAAACCAGGCATGAGCCTATCAGTGATGCTGGTTGTAAACTGATGAACCAGTCGGACCTCCTTGGAGCCGTTCTCTCCCTCTTGCACAAGGAAGAACTTGATGATGCCTGCTGGCTGGTCGGCGTAGACGCCGATGACTGGGCTGAGTGGAGCTTGGATTTCTACGTTCACTCCATTGTGCCAGACGTGGTAGCAGGACCCGGCCCAGCCCACACCCCACGACAGGTCATTCTCTCCCAGACCACATGGGCCATCCTTAGCCTTCCGGCCTGCATTTTCACAGGCTACCCCGATCACCACCCAGCCATCGCAATCCACTTCCCAGTACCCACGACTGCCCAGAATGCCCTCCTTACACAGCACCTGGAGAAAAGGGAAAACATCAGCCATTATTATTCACCATCATGTCTTGTTAAAGGAACACTCAACTTTTTTGAAAATAGCAAAATCCCCCTAGAGTTTAACATTGACTTTTACAATTTCTCCATTCAGGCAATATCCGGGTCTGATGGGAGCGCATTTAGCTTAGCTTAGCATAAATCATTGAATTGGATTAGACCATTAGCATCTCACTCAAAATGACCAAAGATAGACAGAGAATGAATGAAGTATACCTGTGGTGAATGTTCATATCTCTCTGGCCTGTCCAGAACAGGACACACTTCCTCTGACTTGCGCGACACTTTGGTTCCCCCTTCTGAGAGCCACAACATTTTCTGAGCAGTTCTGTCATCAAGAGAGATGTTCATCCAGTCTAAGGCAGAATAAAGTCACATTTTAGAAGATTAACAAATAAACCTGTCATACAGAACTATATAGAAAGGAAGTGTTGACATACACTTCATCAGCTCAGCTCTAGTGTTGGGCTCAGGGATGTTAGGTTCATATGGTGGTGTTTTTGCTGTGATGAAAGACAGAAGATAAAGAGCAAGAGTTCATTATATTGCATTCAATGGTTTCATAATCCAGTTTAAATGGCAGCTGTCTAATTGAGGCCCAGGCATACTCTGGTTTCCATTGTAGTCTGATCTTCACCGATTAGCACTATTAAGATGGAGAGGTCATTGTAATGATCACACATGCAAACAATGTATTAGCTATTTTAATCTGTCTGTCTTCTTATAAGAATCTGTCTTGTCTATTATAAGAACGGTGAACCGCCTCAACTCTCCAAGTAGATGAGGTGGGTCTAAAAAAGCACTTAGCTTTGTTAAATGAAAGGTATGACACCTGCAGTGATTTGATGATTGGTGATAGAAATAGTAACATGAGTAGTTTAATTATATAAAATTAAGATAAAATGTTGAACATGATTACTTTAAATGAAAATATGAGGTATATAATTATGACAAAAAGTAAAGATATTGTAAAAACATTTTGAAAAGTTAATTATGACTCAAAATTAAGACAAGTTTTATATTTAAAAGAATAGTTTACCCAAAACTGAAAATTTAGGTATCATTTACCCAACCTTCATTGAGACAAAGCTTGACACTTTTTTTTCTCTGTTGAACACTATATAAGATATTTTGACAAATGTTGGAAACCCGTAACCATTGATTTTCCTACAATAATACTTACAGTTTTCTAACATTTTTACAAAATATCTTATTTTGTGTTTAACAGAAAAAGGAAGTTCATAAAGATTTGCAACCACTTGAATGTGAATAGATTTACATTTAGTACAGATTTATTGTTTTGGGTGAACTATCCCTTTAACATGGGAATATGTCACTTAAAAAATATTAAAATATATGGAAGACCAATAGGGCCAAAAATATTTGAACAAAACGCATGAAAAAAATTGTGCCATCTCACACAGTTTGACAATGTTATGCAGCATCCAATCAAATTGCTGTATTTGAGACCTTATTTGAAACTTTACTGTCATATTAATTTGTTTATAAACAAACATATGCAAAAATCAGATGCTGTATTGGCTTTCACAAAAATAAACTCACCAAAACAAGATCAAACTGTGGATGTCTAAACACACTAAATTATTTTCTTCAAAAATGCTGCTTTAAACAGTTAAAATTTACCCAAACTAAAGAAATGCATTAAAAATAGCCATGCTTATATCACATATGTACATATCTACATGTACTAAATAAAAATGTTGTAAAAATGCTAGCTCAACACAGTCAAACTGCAAATCTATGGATACTAAAGAAGTATGTAAACCAAAATGGCCACCTTAGAATAGTTAAACTGTGAAATGACTAAAACAGCTTTAAAAAGATGTGCTTTACTAAACTTTACAACTTTACTAAAGAAGTATTTTGGCACCTCAACACAGTCAAAATCTGCAAAACTATGTGGGCTAAAGTATAATTAAAAATTAGCACCGTAACACAGTCAGAGATAGCAAAACTACATTTATTAAAAAATGGCAGTTTAAAAATGGCTGCCTCAACATTGCCAAACGAATAAATGTACGCATATTAAAAAACATGACATAAAATGGCCAACCCAGTCACATTGGTCAAACTGTGTAAATCTGCATCTCCCTCAGTAAACATACAAAATGGCCACCTCAAACTGTGTGAATCTATGGATACTACAGAAGTCAAGCCAATCTGTTCATCTCTGTGTAGCCCACTGAAAAAAAAACATAAGAAGAAATGGCCTCCTTACATTGTTTATCTTACAGCTAAACTGCATGTATAAACATACTTTAGAAACAATCAAAATGGCGGCCTCACATGATCAAACAATGTAAACCTATGTAGGCCTACTAAAGAACACATTTAAAATCACTCAATGTTGTTCAACAGAGCATGCTAAAACGATCAGATTTCATGTTTAATTTGAAACTTTTGGCCCTAATGGCCTTCCATAATACAATGCATATTCATAATATACAAAATGCTGGAGTATCACCACTAGCAAAGAGGCTAATGCTACTTAGCCAAGCAGAAAGACTTTTGGGCTGGGAATCATTTTGCAGGTGGAGTTTGTAGTGAATTTAACAAGGCAATAGAGGGCGCTGTGGTTAACAGTTGAAAATAATTAGCTCACAAATACCTGCAGATTTTGCTTCTGTTTTTGTCCCTTTTCTTCCTGTAGGAGTAAATAAAAAACATTGTTTAACATCAGAGGTAGTTTAGCAATTACACTGACGCTACGCAAGCATTCTAGAGTCTTCCATTTCCTTACAGTGCTTTTTTGATCCCTCTTCCTTACCTTTGGTGTGCAATGTATCACCCTGTGGTATGCCACTCATCTACCCCCACTGTTGTTAGCCCTGAATCATATAGTTTACCCATGCCTGTCAGGGTTTAGGTTACATCTACGAAGCATGCTAGGCCTAAACTTACATTCATCAGGGACACACATCATAGGCTCTGACAGCAGTTTCTAAGAATATATTTTTTGTTTCTGCTGCTCTTCATTTCCATGGTGTTAGTGGCGTTGGCATGTTTATGTGCAGCTCTGGGTTTAACACATTTCTCTCTGCTGTTGACTTTTACAAGCACCTTCTGAGAAAACTACGCAAGGTCCTTTGGCATCAGAGCATTTTTCGCCTGCCTTTTTTAACTGCGGACATTAGTGTTAGTTGCTCCCTTGGGTTATAATGAGGCTTAGTGGCATTAAGGGCAAAATGTTAGTCGGTTTAAGTGTTAATTGGAGGCAAAGGGGGAAAAGGTCATTGTAACAATGAAATACTCAACTAGACTTCCACATAATGTGCTGAAAATCTGACTTTAATACTTGAGGTTAAAATTAAAATGTTTTATTTAATATCTTATCTTGCATAAAAAAGATGTGTTGTTTGACATCGTTTAATGTTTTTCAGACAAAATATTTTTATTGCAGTTTCACTGTAAAATACATTATACGTTAGAATTTTTGGAAAAAATCAAAGGGTTTTTTGTTTAACTGCATTGATATAAGTTTAAAGTTAAAAGTTAACACCTTATATAGTGTCAGTTAATATCAGTTAATATTTATTTTTAATTAATCTTACAATATTAAATATGTTTTAATCTTATTTTGAAAGGGAATTAAAGATAATTAAATTAAATCTGTTAGTAATTCATATCAAGTCATTTCTAAGAAAGCCTGAGATTATGATATAAATGGTTTGTATTTTAGGCTTTGTTTTGATTGGCTGCATGGCTTGGGCAGTGGGAGGAGTCAGAGGTGGCTGGGTTTCGTGACAGTGTGCTCCACTAAGTGATTGTGTCAGCTGTGTTCTGGTGCAAGCAGGACAGGCGTTTGTGTCCACCTGTTTAAGACCTCCAACACCGTTTGTGAACTTGCTGACAATAACCGAGAACAGATTGTTCAGTATTACCTTCATCATCGTCATCAGTATGATCTTTAATCAGCGTTTAACTCTCCATGGGCCGTTTATTTGATTTGTTGTACATCTCAGGGCTGCCTTTATCAAAGACATATGCGCTACATTCTTTACTGGCATCCATTGTCTACACCAGTGGTTCTCAATTTCGGTCCTTTGGCCCGCCGCCCTGTACATTTTGTATGAGTTCTTTACTTAAAACATCATTATAAATGAGATCTAAAAACTAATCTTTGTGTGTCAAATAAGACATACAAATACAAAATGTGCAAGGCAGGGGGGGGGCCCAAGGACCGGAACTGAGAACCACTGGTCTACACCTTTCCATCGAACCTTTCAATTGCACAAAATGGTTCCTTTCAGAACTGTTAGTAATTTTATTTTATGGTATTCCATGGACATTTAGTTGACTGTTAAGTAACTTTGCTGTACAGGTCTGCAGCAGAATAATTTTAGTGAAGGATTTTGACGTCATCTAGACTGCTGAGAGCAGTGCATATGGTGAATATAAATATGTGATAAAGATAGCAATGCAGGTGTTTGAACTGTCTCTGAACAATTAAGCGTTCAAACCAAACTTTGAGGGCTTTTAAAATGTATAGGATCTATTCACCAGAACTAAATGTTTCTATCAGGCTATTTTCCTAGTTGCATTTGCTAGAAACTAAGCCAAGCCTATAGCAGGCCAGCCCATAGTGACATTAAGTTTGGTATTCAACAAAAAACAACATCAACTCAGGAATGCTATGATGGAACTGTATGTTTTTTGTGATAGCAGAGATTGAACATAAAAATGATAAGTTATGAGATGAAAAGAGCAAATACTATGCAAGAGCAAAAAGTAAGGCTATACACATCATCAAAGCTGAGAAAAGAATACAGTGGGGAAAATGACAGTAACATTAGCTTTCTGTATGTTTTGGAACACCACATTCTAGACCTGTGAAATATGATTGTGTGTATTACATATATTGTATGAACAAAAGAAATGGTCTTCCATTTCCTATTATGGTCTGTTCTCTCAATTATATTGTGGTGTTGCAAAATACATTGTTTATTGTTTCAACATTTTGGCACCTTAGAATTACAAGGTCTATCTGATATTTCTGTCAAAACAGTTATTCTTATTAATTGACAACTTATTTACATTATGGGATTTTTTTTTAGAAGTTGTTTATATTTTAAGACTTTTTATTTAAAAAACAATTGTTACATACTGTTTGCCATGGAATGCAAAAACTTTTAAAGTTCTTTATCTCAAAATCATTCAGAACACAGATAGAACCTTATAATTCCAAGGTGACGATTCATATAAGTGCAATATTACGTACAATAGTAGCCTATGTTTACATTTTGTTTATTTGATTTAGCAATATTTTTTATTTATATATATATATATCTACAGTTTTCCTACAGTTTTAATCAAACACAGCCCTGTAGCTCTAAATCAAGTGAAAATTGTGATCACATATGAATGAGTAAATGTAAAGTATACACTTTAAAAGAAAAAAATTAAAAGTTCTTAACATGTAGTCAATATTTTAACTATTACTTGGTTAAATTTCCAGAAATTGTACCATATCCTGATATGTTAGGGATAAAGTACACCCATGACGTTTTTACTCGCACAACAAAGCCAGACAGGTTTACCGGCAGTCTAATGCAAAGCGGAAGTTTCCAGATGAGCCTGTGTCATTTAACGGTTGTCGTCTTAGGACAACATAACTTGCTTGGAATGTCACTACTGACCAATCAGAATAGAATATTCCAGACAGCCGTGTAATAAATATTGTTATCAAGATTTAAGATGTCTTATATTGTGATATGCTATTTTTGTCGTATCCCCCAGCCCTACTGCATTGCTCAATTAACAAATCATATCATCACTGGTGGTGATGTGCTTGATTACTCTTAGTTGCAAAGATTAGATTAGACACGGGTGCAAAAGCCCCTGTTGTTGGCCTGATAGTTTGAAATTACTTCACACCAATTCTGTCCTTGATTTTTATGTATTAGTTTGACCAGGCAGAGAGTTACCGCGAGCATCTGAGAGGCTGAAGGTAAAGCCAAACTAGTCCATCCTGGTTATTATCATCTTACTTTCATCTCGATTTGGAGACTGGAGCCTTGATATCAAAACTCCCACATTTTAATAGGATCAAATAACAACCTAAAAGCAAACAAATTAGCATAAGCGTAATAAGAATATGATGAATATTATCAATTAATTTGAAGTGTAATTTAATGTTTTAATTATGTATTGCATGGGCTTACATGGTGAAGGTTGGCTTCAAACACTACAGATAGATAGCCATCAGAGGCAGATTCAAATGTTTCGGCTTTTTTATTTTTCGGCACCCTAAGCATTGACCATGCACGAGCGCCTCATATTAATGTAATCCTACCAGTTCTTCCAGCTCTAAGTGAATTGACGGTTATGGCATGGAACTAATACCAACAAGGATGCTGAAGACCGCAGCATCATCCAAACATCTCTTGAGATGAAGATACAAAGGTTTATATGCACAGCTTACATTAACTGGCCTTGGTTACACCCATCTCCCTATATGTCAGACCCACCTGGGTCACGGCACCAATAAAACTTCTCTTAGTGTATTTGCCACCACTCTGTGATGTTTTTACCAAAATCATCATTAGTCAACTATGAAGTGTGATTCACACAAGTGAGTAAGCTTGACAAACCACCTGTAGAAACACATTTTCTCTCTCTCTCAAAAAAAACCCTTCCCCTTGCTTACTCTAGCACTAAATTCTCTGAGCACGAACATCTCCGCTGTATAATTAACACTTCTTGTGTGTATTGTCTTCTCTCGTTGAATCGCTGAATTCCTCCTCAATTATACATTACCTTGGACAAAAGCGTCTACTAAACGTAAAACATAAATGTAAAGGAACTATGGGTGCTAGTTCCATTGAAGCAAAGATTTCAGCATTTCAGAGACTGAACCCTTTAGGATCAACCATCAGAGTGTGTATGAGGAGTAAGCTTTACTCCAGATTATTTTATGCCATCAAGAAATTATGAGATACAAGCGAAACAAATCCAGGTTCTTGAAAAATGGCAATTCTGTCATGAATCTTTCTTAATGTCAAGCACATGCAGTGAAACCTTAGATATAATCCGGGTACACATATACTGTACATTCCATCACTTGCTTTGCACATCCAGAGGAATGGATGGCAGAGGAACGAAGGGAACAGAGGTGGTAAAGGGATCAGGGCTAGAGATTAGCAACTGCTGCTGACAGGTCACTCCATCAGTCATGGGCTGGTTCAGCCTCTCCCTTATAGGGGCTGGTATGGAGAGAGTCGGGAAGAACGAGAGGGAGGCGTCCAGTTTAACAGACAGCATACTGTGTTATACTATATCCTATATCCTATAATAAAACCAGTAATTTGTGTAATTTTAAAAATATTGACAAAGCGCTCTTGATTTTGGTTAAAATCTTTAAAACAATTTTCATTTTAGTTTTAGCAATTTGTTGCCGTTTTTTTTTTTTTTTTTTTTTTTTTTTCATTTTAATGTCCTTCATTTAGTCCCAGACTTTTCTCACTTTAATTGTGCATTGCAATATTGTCACATGATGCAGGTCACACACTGGATGCAAAACACTGCACAGCACCTAAACGGAGTTTACACTTTTACCAGGCTCCATAAATAATTTTTTTTCTGATTTCCATCTGGTTGATGTGATATATTTTCCAACACAACTCGTGTGAGTGCAAGCATCCAAGC